GGTTCTGGTCAATTTTCTGTTGGTGTACTCTCTCTTTGTTGCTTTTGATATCTCTCTCTCTCTCTTTCTCTTTCTATGTGTGTGTGTGTGTGTCTTTGTGTGGTTTGCTCCTTCTTTTCTATCGAACACTTATGGTCCTGATCTTTCCTCCTTCTTTTTTGTGATTCTTACTCTCTTGTAACACTTCGCTAATCTTCGGCACTCATATGACCTTATTGTGTTAAAGGGCTGTAATACTCTAATTAAAACTAAAATTCTTACTAAAACTAAAGAGATATGAATCTTTGTTATTCCAGGTGGCTGGCAAACTTCACATTGAGATCTCGAAGGTAGGCGGGGCCATACTTGACCGCTATGTGGACATGGCAGCCGACAACGATGAGGAGAACGCTGTACCCATGGGAGCCCCTTTGCTGATAAGGGTATGTCTCTGTGTATGTGGGTGTGTGTGTGTACATGTGTGGGTGTGTGTGTGTACATGTGTACATGTGTGGGGGGTTGGTGTGTGTGTAGGTACGTGTGTGTGTGTGTGTGTGAGGATGTGTTTATGTGTGGGTGTGTTTGTGTGTGTGTACGTGTGTGGGTGTGTGTGCATGTGTGTGTACTTGTGTTTGTGTGTGTGTGTGCATGTGTGTGTACGTGTGTGGGTGTGTGTGAACATGTGTAGGTGTTGGTGTGTTTGTGTGTGTATGTTCCTGTGTGGGTTTGTGTTTGTGTGTGTGTATGTGTGTGTTCAGTTAGTGTAATCATGGTTGGCCAACTCATTTATCCACGTGGACATCTTGGACATTGTCACTATAATGTAGAAAAGATGCAAAGATGTGTGTGGGTGTGTGGGGGGGAAGTTGGAAGTTGTTGTTTGCACAGATGATGTCTTGGACAATAATGGGCCAATAAAGCAGGTTCGACTGTGTATTTCCCTTTATTCCAACCAAATTTAAACCAAAAAAAACTTTTGTTTCTTTTCCTCAAGGTGTGTATCAAGGAGGCCCGCGGTCTGCCCCTGGCCCTGTCCAACTTCGTGTTCTGCCAGTACTCCTTCTGGGGAGAGTCGGAGCAGTGTGCGGTAGCTCCGCAGATCCACCCGGATACCGTCGTCCACCCGGACAGCCACACCGTCAACTTTGTCTTCAGCCATGAGAAGGTGAGAGGAAAGGCCAAGCAGCGTGGTGAAATCAGGCGCTCGTCAATATAATGAAATTGAAGAAACTGACGTTTTCCGCAGGTTTTGGGAATTTTTATTGAATTTTTATTTTTTTGCTCAACATTTTTCATATCCTTTTAAGAACACATTCCTGTGTGGATAGCTCTGAAATACATTGATTAAAGGCTCAAAAAGTGTAAATTTTCTGTTTTCACAGACTCTCAAGCTAAGGAAAAAACTTAACTTTGGTGGCCATTTTCCACTAATTTTACCTCTGAAACCAGGCGACCCTTACCTCCTTCAATCGCAAATATCTCGACTTGTATTCACGATGATAACTGGATATTTTTTTCATCAAAAGCAATACAAATGAACAACCTTTAAGATGATACCAAATAACTTTACATGACCAAATACTGACGAGTGCCTGATTCCACCGCGTCGTGACACAGATAGTCATCTGGTTGTTTGTGACGGGTGTATTGTCTGAGAAGTCTGACAGATGTTTGATTAACAACAGTCTGCTATGAAAAAATCACGAAGAGTCATTTGTAACACTTGTGGTTTTACAAAAATTTGCCAATTGTTTGTTTAAGTTTTTTAAAATTCAGGAAATGTCATTTAAACTTTTTGTAACACCTGAGGAATTAAAGAAGTCTGCCAATTCAGAGCAATAAAAAAAAACAAAAATTCCAAAAAGTTCTTTGCGACATTTATTGTAGCATGAGAGAGGTCTGTCAATCTTTTATATTCATTTCAGGTTAGCTAGGCAGGGAGCAATAAAAAAAAAATTTTAATTCCAAAAAGTTGTTTGCGACATTTATAGTCATGTAGCATGAGAGAGGTCTGTCAATTGGTTATATTCATTTCAGGTTAGCTAGGCAGGGAGTGCACCGTTTGACTCAATTTGAGCCAAATAAAGGGCAGGTTAACTTTTGCAAGACAGTGCTTTGCCCTTGATTTGTGTGTAAAGGCACGGCCCACAGTGCGCATGCTTTGCAGGGATGTTTTTATAGGGAGCGAAGAGCAGGGGCCATGACAGTGTGCTGTCTAAGAATATGTCTATGAATATATATCCTTTCCTGTGGGTTTTTGGGGGGTTTTTTTTAGTTTTTGTATTGCTTGTTTTAACTGTCCCATCCCAGAGGGACAATAAATTCTGTGATCTGACTTGGTAAATAATGTTTAAGTGTGTGCATTTGTGTTTATGCGTGTGTGTGTGTGTGTATGTTTATGTGCGTGTGTGTGTGCGTGTTTGCATGTGCGCTACACTTCCAGTATGAGATAATATTTATCCATCCCTGCACTGATTTTTCTTTCCCCGTCCCAGGTGTTCCGTGTCCCCATCACAGAAGAGTTCATCGAGCACTGCTCGGAGGGGGCGCTGTCCATCGAGGTGTGGGGCCACCGCAGCCAGGGCTTTGGCAAGGACGTGGTCATGAGCGACGCCGCACAGGCTAAGTCACGCTCCGTGGCAGACAGGTCAGAGAAGGGTTTTTTGGGGGGGTTTTTTGTTTTGTTTTTTTTGGTTGTTTTTTTTGTTAGTTTTTTGGGGAGGGGGGTTTGTTTGTTGTTTTTTGGGGGGAGGGGGCATTTTTTGTTTTTAGAATAATTCTTTAAATCAACAGATTCTTAGCACACAGAAGACCTGAGTTTGAAGCCTGTGTAGGGAGAATTTTTATGGAGTATCCCACACCATATGGCAACATTCTATATTGCACTGTACCGTACAATGCCATATCATGCCACACCATACTATACTGCACTATATCTTACTATACTATAACAGGCCATACCATGATGTGAGTTCTGACATTAAGCAGAGTTGAACCTGCTCTAACCTCTAACAGCCCCTTGTCTAAGACGACCTTCTGTACAACTGACCACCACTCCCTTCCCCCC